GGGTTTAGGGTTTAGGGTTTTCGTACCCTCAGGGTGTTGCTTGGATGCAGTCGCTCAGGTTGGGGAGTTGCAAGCTCTAGAATCTATAGACATAGGGGCTTGGAGCGTCAGGGTCTGCGTGATTTAGGCTTGTAAAGGGTTACGCTTCGGGGTTGTACGGTCGTAAGGTTTGCTTCTGAAACACAATCGTTAATAGGATCCCGCTATAATAATAAGAACAATAATAATCATAATAATAATAATAATAATAATATTCTGCTTTCTGCTTTCGTGGCACTGAGTCAACGTCTGACGCAGCCATGAAATGGCACCTAATTAAATGGGCGGACGGGTGAAACGTGAAAGAAAGGCCTCGCATTGGTAGTTCCCAGCTGCACAGAAGGAACCCCATCGGGCCTGAAAAGGAGCGGTTTGTAACAGGGCCTGTGACACTGGGCTATCCCGCTCCGAGAGGACAACAACAGCAGGGCGGCCCTGACTCCACAGACTGATGGCTCCGCGAGTGAAGTCAGAGAAGAGCCGGAGGCGGCGTAGTGACTTCTCTAGCTTGATATAGCTCTGCACAGGTCGCGGCACAGTACCGCCAGGGGGGAGCTCAACACAGTCAAAGATGGTAGCGGAGCAACAGCGGGTCCCATCGTTGCCAAGGATCTCCCCAAGCTCAGTGACTGGAGTCCACAGGGATCGGAGGTCGGGCGGAATGTGTTTCAGACGGGCGCCATCTGCAAAGTAGCGCCCGACCTCAGTAGGTAGGGCAAGTGCTGCGAAGCCGGCACCCTCGAACTGTATCCAGGGCAGTAGCTTCCAGGCGTCCCTGTAGACTTTGATGTCAGGGTGCTTGTGCGCGGAGTCTGATGCAAGCCAGGCGGGCCAGTCCACATGCTTAAGGTGTGCAGTGAGGGAGGTGTGCATGGCTCCCCAGCGGACGGAACAGTCGGCATCGCCATCTAATTCGTCCTCGAGGATGCAGGACCACTCAGCAAGGGTGGCCCGAAGCCTGCTGGTTTGCAGGCAGGCCCTCGAGAATGCCCGCCGGTATCGGCATGTGAGATCATCAAGGTCGCCGCAGACCTGCTCATCATGGCAGAAACAGTCCTCAAGAGCCTGGATGACGAGTGGTTCAGGCCTGTGGGGCTCATCAACAACATCACCTCGTTGGGCTGCCCGTAGAGGGCCGCTGGCCTGCAGCACCGGGGCCTGGACACTGGACCCATCATTGAATTTCCGGCTGCCGATGCCAGGAACGGGGCATACACGAGAGTCTCTTGCAAGCAGTGCGTGGCGGCAGCTGCGGGTATACCTCAAGTGGTTGCAGAGCTTCTCGGTGTTCGCATACTGGCGCAAACAATGAGGGCACTGGGTTCCCTCAACAAGCAGTCTTTCTTCTCTAACACGAGAGTGTATCTTGAATGCGTGGTGGGACCACGCGCGGAGATCGGCAAAGCGGCGCTTACAGAGGCCACAGACTTCGGTCTCACAAGCAGGCGGCTCAATGTTGGCATCATAGGATGCCCCGGCATCCCGTAGTGGTCGCAGGATCATGCCATGCATTTGCTCGGTTTCTGCCTCCCAGCGAGAAGCAAGAAGGGCTATGTTCCGGGCTCGGTTGACAAGACGCTTCCAGCCACTGGCAGAGGCTCGGATCAGGTCCACTGCGGTTTGCCATGTGCCAACAGGAGGTGGTGCCCGGGGACCGAGCTGTAGCTGTGTGCACATCCATTGTAAGGATCCCTGAAGATCATGGAGCCAGGAGCCCTCGTAGTGCAGCAGAGACCATATCTCAGGGTTCGCCTTGAGAACGAGAGCACGGAAGTGGCGGAGCCTTTCAACATGGCAAGCGTGGGCGGCAGGTAGGACCCGGGCACATGCTAGAACATACACGGGGCTCAAGTGGCAAGCTTTGTCAAAAGTGTAAGCTGGCCGGAGCATCATTCTTGTCATGCCCACAAGGGCGTTCTGGAGCTGTTGGACAGTGTCCTGTCGGCAAAGTGGCCACGCTCCGAGCCCGTAGTACAATGTACTCTCAACCAGCGAGGCAAATAGGATGGCCTTATCCTTACCGCTGACAAGGGGGGAGGCAAAGATTTTTCTCCGATGGAGTCGAAAGGCACTCCAGGCGGCACCTATCCTAGCTTTGACCTCTTTGGTGTGACCTCCTGCGGCTTGCAGCATGCCGCCAACGTGCTTGTATTTGGCGACAAGACGGAGCCTGGCCTCAGGCCAGACATCTGAGTGCAGCTGCAGGGAAGGATCGCTGTCACAAAAGATCTCTTTGCGGAGGGCTTTGGAACGCGGTCCGTTAATATTAATATATATATATATATATATAAATAAATATATTATTATTATTATTATTATTATTATTGTTATTATTATTGTTATTATTGTTATTATTCAGGCCCCTACAACAAGCCCTAAACCCTCAAAGTTCGGGCTGGGTGCTTCAGAAGGGCCCCATCTGCCTGGGGAACCTCACTCCGGAGAGCAGAAAGCCGGGCTCGGAGAACTCCGCCTTTGATGGGCTTTATATCTAAGGGTTTAGGGTTTAGGGTTTAGGGTTTAGGGTTTAGGGTTTAGGGTTTAGGGTTTAGGGTTTTAGGGTACACGGTTTAGGGTTTAGGGTTTAGGGTTTTATAGCGGGTATCTCCTGGTGTTGGTGTCCTTTTTATAACCCAAAGGCTCCATGTACCTTTATAGTAGATACTTAAGCCTCAAAGGGGTCCCTATATACTATAAAGGTACATGGAGCCTTTGGGTAAGGGTGCCGTAGTAGGGACCAAGAACTTCCTGAATTTAGAGAGCTAGAGGTCCTTCCGGGTTCAGGTTGGGGGCTGAAAATTTAGGATTTTCGGCGTCATTGAAGGGGGGGGGTTGGTGCTTAGGGCCTTTGTGGCCTTTAAGGGTTCCCTGACACAGGGTTCAAGGGTTCAGGGTTTAAGGTTTTAGGGCTTTGTTGGTTTACCAGAAGATGGCTTGGAAGGTGCATTGAAACATGATATGTCAGGAACCTTTTTAAGGAAACGTATTTGTGATTATCCGGGCCCTGCAGTTTTGGCTTGTTTTCGGTGTTCTGGCCTCCTTCAACAAGTTCCGTTAAGGGAACCTTAGAGACCACTCAAAGACACCCGTTTAGAACCCTTCCAGGAACGAAGGGTTAGGGAATTTACGAGTTTTAGGGGATTTAGTTTAGGGACATTTAGGGTTCGGGGCGCAGCCTGTGCTTCGAAAGATGTGTTTTTCGCGACTCAAAAGGATTTGTCAAATTACTTTTTACAAAGAAAACATGTTCATATCGGGTGTGCGAGCTCCTTGCTGCATAAAGTTGGGGGTTCAGGGATGCTTGGGGTTTAAAGTTATGGGTTGAGGCTTGAGGTTTGGCCCATATTTCGTAAGGTTTGGAGCTTCAGGCTTTGTAGGGCTTTGGTACTGTAGAGGCCTTAATAATCAGAATAGGGTTTTGGGGGCCATTATACTATAATAACAATAGGGAGCCCCCCCAAATAATAGCATTGGTAATTATTTAGACTCCATTAGAATTATTGTCAAGTTTTAGCTGTAGTCTCGTCATTTTAAGGTGGATGGGTTCGCCATGCGTTTGGGATTGAAGTCACTCTTTTGTTCGTTGTTCGGGGTTTGGGTTTGCAGTGAACTCTTCTCGTGTTTCGGGCTTAATTAGGGTTCCCTTCGTTGGTTTTAACAGGCTGCCGTTGTGATGGTCAGCCAGTGAACGGAATCTCAATCGCCTAAACATCAGCATCTTCAACGCAATGTCCCTGCAAGGTTGCCTGGATGGCATGGATTCCAATTGTTTGCCTTCCAAGCAGGTCCATATGTAGTACCATTATGGAATTAGGTCCTCAAAACCATAATAGGTATGGTCTTCTGGGGCTTAAGTCCATAACGGTAGTGTATATTGGGCCCTCTGCGTTTCATGTGCATTTATGGTCCGAAACTGAAGGTTCCGGTTGCAAGGTCAAGAAGTTGGGGTCGGGAGGACATAAAGATTAGCTACACGGCTTGGGGCATGGGGTTTACGGCGAAAGTTCACGGCGTTTAAGTTTCAGGTGTACGGTGTGTAGAGCTCAGCGTGCACGTTTCAAGCAACGATCCGAATCGGAACTCTATGGAGCAAGGTGCAACTGGAGGTGGCGAGGTCATTCTGAACCCACCCGCGCTTGTTGATCAGATGCATCCGCAACCTTAGAGTTGAAAGCGGAAGGCGATCTGGAGTTGTATACTATCTCTGGGTTGAACAAACACATCATGGTGTGGACTCTGGTGTCCGGACAGACCCCTAAAGCCGCAACCTGAAAAGCCGCCCTAAACTCTAGCGGAGAAAATAGAGGTACGCGAAAGGCCCGAACCTACTTATCCGGCTTTGGAAAGTCAGGTTTGGGGTGTCGGGGCTTTGCGCTACGTAGGATTTACGGGCCACCACGAAAAAATAACCACGGACGCTTGGTTCCGAAGTTAACTGCTATGTAAATTGACACACTTGGATTGAACACCTCACTGCGCGGCTAACCCTGAGCCCTCCACCCGAGCACGAGCAGGTCCCAATGATAGTGCTCCAAGAATGAAAACGGAGCGCAAGGCACAACCGTGCTGGGTGTCAGCCTTAAGTCGGTTCACCCAGCTAACGTCGAACTCGCAACATCATGCTATGGTTGTTCAACGTTCGATTAGCCTGTCTGATACTTGCATACTTGCATCCATGCTGTCCCTATTTTGGTTGAGCGTTACATAGGCTGTCTTGGCATGTTCGCTTGGGTTGTGCTGATTTGCTCTGCCTAGAAGAGCACTGACGTCGAACGAGTTGAGTTGGCTATAGCATCTGTCCTAGGCTTTATTGTGAAACGAATGCTTGGCAAGAAGTTAATGCCAAAAGGAACCAAAACGAGTGTGCGTCCATCTGCTTCGACAAAGGGCGCCCGCAGTCTACAGATTATACTTGCGAACTTTAGTTTCAGCCTGTTGGCCTCGCACTGCAAGCACTATAACCACGTAATAATATACATCAAGTGCCTGATGCCTGCTTGTTGGACCTTGAGCACCTCTGGGAAGGATTCGTAGATGAGATCCTCTAAAGAACAACACGGGGCAAAACAAATACGCCAAAGGCCTACCTGGATAAGGTATATGGTCCGGGCCTGTATCTACAGGTACAGATCCCAGCGCTCCCCTGCTCCAGTATGAGCTCAACGTCTCCCGTTTTTCGCGCAGCACTTTCCATCCGCGACAATGGGATTTGGGCTGCGGCTTTCGGGTCAGCCTTTAACCCTAAATCCTGAACCCGGAACCCTAAACCCTGAACCGGGTTTGGTCGAAGGGCTTAGGGCTTTAAGGCTCCAGTCTTCGGTGTTGGGATCATGGAGCTGGGGCGTGAGTGAGTTTCGCCTGGGGTTTAGGCTTAGGGTCTAGAGTCAAGGGTCTAGGGTTTAGGATGAGTGTCGGGTGTAGGATTCGTTTTAGGGTTTGGATAAGGGTCTAAGGTTCCGCAAAACCCTTGTGCGCTTAAAAGCTTAACACCTTCTCAGGAGTTCGGGGAAGCCTTGCATGCGACTCCCAGCTTTCGGATATACTTGGGTTTTGGGTTTTTGGGCTAAGGGCCTAGGGTTTAGGAATTGGGGGTTGGGGGCTTGAGATTTAGGCCTCAGGGTTTGGAGTTTAGAGTTGAGGGTCTAATACAGAAGCCAAAATAACTACCTATATTATTCCTTAGGGTTCCTTATTATACTTATACTAGAAAGGAATCCAAAACCATATTCTAATTATTAAGGCCCCTACACTATCCGACAAGTTTATCCTATGCCCTGCAATCCCTCATGCTCCACAGTGACGAGAGTCGGACTGGCAGGTGCCATTGAACCCTTATCTTGCAACCGAAAAAGGGTCTAGGGTTTAGGGTCTAGGGTTTAGGGGAAACCCACAAATCATACTAAAAAACCCTACGCCGAATGCACTGAAGCCTAAACCGTAAACCCTAAACCCTAAACCCCAAGCTTCCAAAGAGGAAGCCTGCAACACGAAAGCCCCACATCCTCAACCTTTGCACGCCCCAAATCCGACAGCAAGACCTGAACCCTGATTTAGGGTTTAGGGTTTA